TGTTTGGGTTGCTGGGGCCTGTCAGAGTTTTTGAACTGTGTTAAAACAAGGTTGGAGCCAGGTGCGGTGGCTCATGCCTATAATCCCAGCACTTTTGGAGATGGAGGTGAGAGGACTGCTTGAGTCCAGAGGTTCGAGACCAGCCTGGGAAACTAGGTGAGATTTCACAATAAATCAAAAAATTAGCCAGGCGTGGTGGCATGCGCCTATGGTTCCAGCTACTTGGAAGGTTGAAGCAGAAGGATCACATGAATCCAGCAGGTCGAGACTGTGATGGCCATGAGCGTGCCACTGCCCTCCAGCCTGGGCGACAGAGTGAGACTCCTACTTAAAGTAAACAACAAAAAACAAAAACAACCAACCAAAAAAAAAAACAACCCAAACTTCAGCTATCCTTCTCTGCATAACAAGGTGCCTTGAAGGTTTTTAAGCAATCCTTCCTTCTGTCAACAAACATTTACCAAGCGATTCCTATGGCCCAGGCACTGAGGAGACAGGACAGAGAGGGCGCCACACATGACAGGCAACACTGGACTCTGAATTGCTGGATGACACACTGAAGCATGAGGAACGCAGAATAGAGACACCCGGGTGTGACCCCGTGACGTGGGACTGCAAAAGTGGGTGAGGCCTAGCTCCAACCAAGCACAGAAAACAGAATGCTCCCATCCCCAGCCCTTCAGGGGTGGTGGGGGAGCATCTCAGTTCTGCAACGGGGACAGCAATGCTGACCTACCTTCCCTCCACTGGGTGCTGCTGCTCTAGCAATAACCCATTACCAGAGCACGGAAGCACCTGCTCCTTCCCGGCTGCAACCACTGGGAGAGCAGCCTCCTTCCCTCTCAGGGACCCTCATGGCCCTTTTACATCAAAGTATGCTGGGGTTTTTTAAAACACACTTAACTTTTTTAGAAGTTGATACATTCACACGGCTCAAAAATCAAAGTATGAAAGGTATACAGTGAAAAACTAGCTGTTTAAGACAAAAGTTGCTCTTCAGGAATATTCTTTCATGGACAAGAAGAAACAAAGGCCAACACCTCTACTAGCTCAGCATAAAAGCTCAGTTCACACCCACTGCTGACAGGCAGGCCAGCTTCTCACAACCTTTTCCTTTTAGCTGTCTGACAAACATGACATTGCTTACCTTTCTCTAAGATTATGTGAATATAATTTAATTTGAATTTCAAGATGGGGAAGTACTGTGCTCGAAACCAAATCAAGGTAATTACCATGCACACCCCTGCCTCTACTCCCACCTCAGAACCACTGGATCAGACCCGATTTTAGTTTCTTGTTTGTTAACTAAAATGTAATTTACCTACATTGAAATGCTCAGGTCTTACCAAGATTGTTCAATCCATTTTGACAAAATGCATGTTAAAGCATAGAATCAGACGAGGGCTTTCGTTTTAAAATTGACCTGAGATTTGGACTGAGGAAGTTTACTGATGAAAACTTTAAAGCCCTTCCTTTGAGGAGGCCACTAGGAAGCAGGGGATTACCTTGAAGATAGTATTTGATTTTATCAGAGGTTCCAACTTTCCTGCTGAAATGCTGGTCGTTGGGCTTCACCTGGCATATGTTGGCCCCAGAGCAGGCCGGGTTCCTGGAACTCGTTATGGAAGAAAGCTGGATTTCGTACAGGTAGTTGTCCCCGTTGGTCCTCATGTCCCCAGAGGCTCTGAACAGCCTGAAGAGGCAGAAAAGATCACAGTGACTCAAGTCCTTCAAGAAGGCATTTATTACATAGACCCAAAGTTCTTTTTTCAGGGTTCTGGGATGCCTCCTCTCCCATCTGGGGCAGTGCATCTGTGATCCCCCAGACTCCAAGGACACCAACTTCCATTTCAATCGACTTACACCCGTCCACCGTTTCTGCTCTGTGAGAGTCAATGTACCTTCCTCACATGCTGTGACTGGCACCAGAAGGCACGGCTAGACACCTCGGCCACCAGGCCCCAAACACAGCCCTAGTGAGACTGCTGAGAAAGACTTTTTTCCTACAAACTAATAAGCCCAGGAGATTCCTGCTCAAACATGTTTCCAGACGGCTTTGGCTTCAACCCCTGAACTTGTCACATAGTAAGGGAGGAGAGAGGGCTTTATTTTTACACTCCCAAAAATTCACCATCTTTGGTGTCAGAACTTAATAGCTGAGCAAAGCTTCTCCCTGGTTTGAACAAAGGATGACGACGACTCGGGTAACAGTAACTAAAGCACCTGGTGCTATTTATCTTGCAGTGATCAGAATCGCTGGTTTAATTCTGACTTCGTTTCAGTGCTGGGGAGGAAGTCGTCTCACTTACTTAAAATAAATATCTCCGAGGCTGAAGCTCTTGCCGTTTACAGGATTGGTGATGGTCCCGTTCACCATCTGTACCTCCTGGGGCTTCACAGCGCAGGCAGCCCGGGACTCCCAGCTGAAGTAGTAGGTGCAGCTGTCGATGTCAAACCTGGGGGGAGGAAGCACAAATCACTCACCTCCCCAGCAGGACACGAGAAGACACAAACACACATGACTGCAGCACCCCAAGTAAAGGTGTAGGGAGACCTCAGCAGGGCCGAGGCCTTCCTGACAGCTCCAGGGCTCCCAGGAGTGCCTGCCTGCGAGGTCCCCAGGGCTGCATGGGCAAAAGCAGAACTTCCTGACTCAACGCTGATGGCAGCTCTGGGATAGGAGGGTCATTTGACACACTTTTTTCAATTACTGTGACACCCACCTCCGTAATGTGACAAAGCAGATAAGCATTCAATACACATTTTTTAAAATCGAGAAGCTGTACAACATTTAAAACCTGGAAAATTTGCTCCTGTAGTTTTGATATTTTTTTCCAAATTTCTCAAACACATACACTGATACATGTTTGACAACTTATGGATCTCACTCTTTCCAATCTGAGCTTCTGCAAGAAACTGGTTTCTTCACAAATGGCAGCTCACGTGCTCCCCCTGTTGGCCAGGTTCCCCCTAGCACCATACCCAGAAAATGCCAACACAATCCATGCACGTCCCAGGTGCAGCCCCCACTGGCCCTGGGTCCCAGACAAGTTGCCTGGACAGTTGGCCTTGGGGGGGTTTGGGGGGAGGGCAGTTAACACCCCTTTGGCTTTATAACATTCATAGAGAGGCCAAGTAAATGCTGCTCATCCAGCACAAACAGTGCTAACCCTAGTTCAAGAGCATTTTTTTTTAGGCTGGAGAAGCTGCACTCATCTGGTAACTGTCTTGGCATGCCACCCAGGAACTCCTCCCTGTGTGCAGCTGCTCTGCCCCCAACAGGACTAACGGGAACCCTGCCCACACCCCCAAATGTGACAACTCGAACATCCTCTCGCCTGGATGCACGGTCCCAAAGCCCCACATGCAGACCCGGGGAGGAACTCTGAAGCACTCTGTGTGCTCTCTGCACAGTCCCACCAGAGCTGCTGACCTCTTGAACGTGGGTGTGCCCACCGTCTTTGCACAGGTCAATTCTATCACGGAGGAAGCGGTCTTATTGCCATCACATGGATAACCCTTTGAGTAAGTGATAATAACTCTGTCATCTGAAACACACAAATGATTAAACTGACGTTACTTCCAGTGCGTATAAAAAGCCTCAATGTAGGGAGTCAAAATCTACTTTGAGGGCCAGAACAAGATCAGTTTTTGCCTCTCTGAAGGTTTAAGGACCTGGACTCAGCACCCCTGTGCTTGGTGGTAGCCGCCCAGCCTGCACTGCCATGGCCACAGCAGCAAGACCTGGGGTCAAACCCACAACCTTCCAGTCAGGCGCTCCATGAATCTGGGTGGCCTGGACCACCCGGTCTGAGCAACAGGAATCCCATCCAAAGTGGGCAAGTTCAGGGTGTATGGAAAGTGCTTGCAAAGAGCAAGCGAATGGCCAGACCTCAGAAAGTGACAGCAATCATTGTTGCTCCAAGTTTGAGCGATTTCTGTATCATTTCAGGTGCTCCTCTGACCGGTCCCCTCACATGAGTCTCCCAACAATAACAGAGCAGTGACTGGACAAAGTGAAAAGCCAGAGACAGGTCATTGCCTTGCTAAGCTATGGTGTGGCCATGTGTTCTTTGAGCTATGGCCAGGCCATGTTTCCTGTCTTTGGCCCCTTCCCCTTACTTGGGAAGGTGAATCTCCTCTCTCTCTCTTTCTCACTTGGTTTTTAAATAAACTATATTTTCTAATCGAAAAAAAGAGAAAAAAAGAAAAGAAAAGCCAGAGACAGAGACCAGCTCTGGTTTCCTTGGGTCTTCTGGTTCTAAGTCGAGCTCTGCTTTTGAAAGTGATGTGTTTCAAGAAAAACCTAAGCCCTCAAACTTGCAGAGTCTAAGAGAAATGTGACTGCATTCTTTAAGTTGCATGTATTATGGGGACAGGGTGGCAGCCATGTGTCAACTCTTGTGCCACCATCAAGAGACTTGTTGGTGGCTGCCTGGGGGGCTGCCCTGGGAACAGTCTGAGCCCAGCCTGGCTCCACGGATGGATGATGTCTCCAGGGTGCAGCACAGGGGCTGCAGGAAGAGCATGCAACCTCCACCCTGATCTCACACACGTCTTTCCAGGTAGGGCACACAGTAGAAACAACATGGCATGGTACTCGCTTCCCAAGTGCTCTCCCCAGGACACAGGCCAAGGCACCGGGGACTGCTGACAGGGAGGAGGACTCCAGGCTTATGGCCCTGCCCCACATTCAAAGCTTCTCCCACTGAACTTATCTGAGATGTTGGGTTTCTGTGTAAAATTGTGGAAGAAAGAATACTACTGTTTTAAGAAAACTTATTTAAACTGCTGGAACATAGGAAGAAACAAACATAGACTTTAATAGTGCAGATACCCTGTACCAGCAGGGCAATAGGCTAGACCCTCTCACTATCAGTTGCTGTGGGGGTCCAGCCTCTGCTGACCAGGGCTTGAGTTGGGGGAGGGAATGAGAAAAGAAAGAGACAGAGAAACAGTGGGATTGGGAGGGTCCTCTCCCAGGTAGCTGAGAGCGAAAGAGAACTCCTTTATTTTTACTGCATGCCTCTTATATAAGACAAAAATCACACAAGGGGGGATGAAATCATACAAGCAGGATATGTTAATGTCTGAGTTAAATCACACAAGCAGGGTAAGTATCAATGACTAAACTATGCATATCTTTTTTTTATAATCAATATTTTTTATTATGATATTGTGGGGTACAGTTAAGGGTTAGGCATACAAATACATTTCGTTCAGGCACCCTTGTTGATAAGAGGTGTTTCCCCGTTCCCAGACAGATATTTACTACCATTAATTCCATCTCCCTCCCCACCCCATAGTTTCCCACTACTGTCAGTCATTTTCTTTTTTTTTTTTTTTTCTTTTTTTTTTTTGAGCTGGAGTCTCACTCTGTCACCCACACTGGAATGCAGCGGCCGCTCCCGGCCACCACAGCCTCAACCTGCTGGGCTCCAGCGATCCTTCCACCTCAGCCTTCCAGTATCTGGAACTAC